TGAAATGTTAACCTTTCTCCAATGAATTGCCTTTACGATTTTGTCAAAATCAATTAACCATATTTGTACGGGTCTGTTTGAACTCGATTCCCCTCTGTCTCTGTGCATCTATCCTTTTGCCAATACCATACTGTCTTGATTACTGCAGCTTTACAGTAAGTCTTAAAAGCTTTCAATTTTACTCTTTTTCAAAATTGTTTTATCTATTCTAGTTCTTTGCTTTTTCACACACATTTTCTTTTTTTTTTTTTTAATTTTTTATTGGATTTTAGGTTTTGGGGTACATGAGCAGAGCATGCAAGACAGTTGCATAGGAACACACATGGCAGTGTGCTTTTCTTTCCTTCTCCCCTTCACCCACATTTGGCATTTCTCCCCCGGCTATCCCTCCCCACCTCCCCTTCCCACTGGCCCTCCCCTTTTCCCCCCAATAGACCCCAGTGTTTAGTACTCCCCTTTCTGTGTCCATGTGTTCTCATTTTTCATCACCCACCTATGAGTGAGAATATGCGGTGTTTCATTTTCTGTTCTTGTGTCAGTTTGCTGAGGGTGATGTTTTCCAGATTCATCCATGTCCCTACAAATGACACAAACTCATCATTTCTGATTGCTGCATAATATTCCATGGTGTATATGTGCCACATTTTTCCAATCCAGTCTATTATCAATGGGCATTTGGGTTGATTCCAGGTCTTTGCTATTGTAAACAGTGCTGCAATGAACATTCGTATACATGTGTCCTTATAGTAGAACGATTTATAGTCTTTTGGATATATACCCAGTAATGGGATTGCTGGGTCAAATGAAATTTCTATTTCTAAGGCCTTGAGGAATCGCCACACTGTCTTCCACAATGGTTGAACTAATTTACACTCCCACCAACAGCGTAAAAGTGTTCCTTTTTCTCCACATCCTCTCCAGCATCTGTTGTCTCCAGATTTTTTAATGATCGCCATTCTAACTGGCGTGAGATGGTATCTCAATGTGGTTTTGATTTGCATCTCTCTGATGACCAGTGACGATGAGCATTTTTTCATATGATTGTTGGCCTCATATATGTCTTCTTTCGTAAAGTATCTGTTCATATCCTTTGCCCACTTTTGAATGGGCTTGTTTGTTTTTTTCCTGTAAATCTGTTTGAGTTCTTTGTAAATTCTGGATATCAGCCCTTTGTCAGATGGGTAGACTGCAATAATTTTTTCCCATTCTGTTGGTTGCCGATCCACTCTAGTGACTGTTTCTTTTGCCGTGCAGAAGCTGTGGAGTTTCATTAGGTCCCATTTGTCTATTTTGGCTTTTGTTGCCAATGCTTTTGGTGTTTTGTTCATGAAGTCCTTGCCTACTCCTATGTCCTGGATGGTTTTGCCTAGATTTCCTTCTAGGGTTTTTATGGTGCCAGGTCTTATGTTTAAGTCTTTAATCCATCTGGAGTTAATTTTGGTGTAAGGTGTCAGGAAGGGGTCCAGTTTCTGCTTTCTGCACATGGCTAGCCAGTTTCCCCAACACCATTTGTTAAACATGGAATCCTTTCCCCATTGCTTGTTTTTGTCGGGTTTATCAAAGATTGTATAGTTGTATGTATGTTGTGTTGCCTCCGGTGCCTCTGTTTTGTTCCATTGGTCTATATCTTTGTTTTGGTACCAGTACCATGCTGTTTTGATTACTGTAGCCTTGTAATATAGTTTGAAATCCGGTAGTGTGATGCCCCCCGCTGTGTTCTTTTTGCTTAGAATTGACTTGGCTATGCGGGCTCTCTTTTGGTTCCATATGAAGTTCATGGTGGTTTTTTCCAGTTCTTCACACACATTTTCAAATCAGCTTGCCAATATCTGCAAAAAGTCCTGCTGGGATTTTGACTGCTTCGCCTTTACCCCTCTTCCTCCCCACTTCTGAGGGTTATTTCAAAAAAATCATCCCAGACACTATTATTATTTAGTCTATAGGAACTTGGCTTTTTCCTAAATGAAAGAATCTCGGCTTCTTCATGAGTATCAAATAAATTATTACAGTATTCCTGCTATAGAATATTGAGCTCATTGTAGGTCTGCCTTCCATAACTGACTTTTAAAGAGTGCATTGTAACTACATGTACTGACACACAATTTTGTAGCTCAGTTTGGGGAGAACTGACAGCAACATTGAGTCTTCCAATCTGTAAACATACTATCTCTCCTCAGGTAGTTAGGTCTTTGCTAATTTCTTTAAAAAATTATTTGTATTTTCTTGAATGTGGATCCTGCATATATTTTACTAAATAGATGCCTAAATATTTCAATTTTTTGGTACTTTTAAAATTTTCATTTTTCAATCGTTCATTGTTAGTATACAGAAATACAATCACTCTAAGTATATTGACCTATATCTTGCAATCTTGCTATATTTGTATAAGAGTTCTGAGTGCTTTTTTGTGTATGTTGTATAAACATGTCATCTGTAAATAGAGACAGTCTTATTTCTTTCTTCTGTCTCTCTGCCTTTTATTCCTTTCTCTTGCTTTATTGCATTGCCTGGGTGATATGGCACTTTTTTATAGTTCTCTGGAACTTTCAGATATTTTTAAACATTTTTATAATCTTCAAACATAGCATGCATGTTTGCTTTATAGGAAGTATTTGGTCCTTCTGATATTTATGCCTTCAAGTATCTGTTTCTCATGTTTGCCTGCATGTATGCCTGGCATTCTCCTTGTGTGCATATCTACGTACACAATTCCCCTTTTCATAAGGACACCATCATATTGGAATAGGAGCCTACCCTACTTCAGTATGATCTCATCTTAATGAATCACATAAGCCTTCAAATAAAGCCACATTTGGAGAGACTAGAGACTTCACATATGAATTTGGTGGGAGCACAATTCAATCAACGGCATGTTGGTTCTCATTCATAATATCCTGTTGCCTTAGATGCCTGATGATCACTGACTATATGCTTGTCATGATACTGAAAATATCATTTTCTGTAATAATTTGAAGTCTAAATGGAAGGCATCCTCCTTTAGTGAATATTATTTGCTTCTGCAAAGTACCTGGGTTTACATCTAGTGCAGAAGCAATATCAATCAAGTTCAAGGGTTGAGGTTCTCTGAATTACCCAAATGATGCAAACTCAAGCTGCAAATCTACACAAGGGTTGGTTTACCCCTAGTTCACACCTACTCAGATTTTGCAACTCCTTGGCTCCCCTTTATTGTAGAGAGTGCCTTCTATGAGACAGTCTACCTTATACAGGCCTTGTACTTCGATATTTGACCGTTACTCTCACCTTCCACCCCATGAAGACATGAAAATTTCCAAGATTGATAATTTCCAAGACCGGTAAATTATCTAAGGGCAAAAGTGGCTTTTAGACTCTGTTGTCTCCCCAGGTTACCATTTTCCTTTCCTTTTTTTTTTTTTTTTTCCTGAGGCAGGGTCTTGCTTGTTGCCCAGGCTGGGGTATAGCAGTGTAATCATGGCCCACTGTAGTATTAACCTCCTGGGACTACAGGTGTGTGCCACCATATCCAGCTAATTTTTAAAATTTTTTGTAGAGACAGGGTCTCACTATGCCCAAACTGTTCTTGAACTCCTGGGCTCAAGCAATCTTCCTACCTTGGCCTCCCAAAGTGCTGGGATTACAGGTGGGAGCCACTGCGCCTGGCCCATTTTCATTTCAATTCTGGTCTTTATTATTTCTTACTTTGAAAAACATTTTAAAGAATATTCTTATCTAGAATTTTAAATTTTCAGTGGAAGAGGTTTGGTCTGAATAACTTAAGCTCACTATTTGAAAAAAAGAAAACTTGGTCTCTTTTCTTTAGTAACCTCTGTATGTATTTAGAACTAGCATTTAGGGAGGTTATTTCAGGCTGATGACATATTTATTCAAACATTTCTTGCTTAAAATAAGTAATAAATAGTATCCTGTAATATGAGAAAATTTGAAACTCCATTTTTTTTTCAGGGTTCATCTAAAAACCCTCATTTTAAATTTGGATTTATTTGGTATCTATTGAAATGTGACAGAGGAAAAAATGATTCTAATATGAAATAACAAGAAAAAAATCTATCTGTAATATTTGAAATGGAGTCTTTACTGAAATTAGTATCAGAACCTAGTGGCTAGCAGCTAGGATTTAATATTATTGGGAACTGTTTCTCCTGAACTATATCAAAGAAAGTCACTACTTGCATTTTGAATGTAAATAAGAGAGAGATGGAGACTGTTGTTACCAAAATAAGGGGAGGATATGAATGGCTAACCTAGGTAAAAAGCACATTGTGGAGAGATTAATTTTTAATGTCAATTTTATAACTCTAGCAGGACATAAATAGCAATATGTGGATAACAGTAAACCAATCACATAATTGGAGAACTCTTAGAATGTCTTATGAGATGATGATTTATGGCCTAGAATTTAGCTCAGCAGAAAACATACTAAAGGTCTCCTTCAGAATAAAAGTCATAAAGGAGCGGGATCAAAGGCTCTCTCTTGATGTAATTATTTTTCTTACAGTTGGTCAGGCTGTCAGGTACTTTGCTCAGCCTCCTACAGATATCTTTGGATATTCTTAGATGGTAAATGAATCCATTTAGTGCCTCTTCCTTTGCATTCAAGTCAACCAAACGTGGGGACATGGTTACCTTCAGGAAGGAGGAAAATGAGCTGAAAAGTCCCTGTACTTGACAGAGAAGCAGAGGAACTCTGTCCTGAGCAGCCTTAAATGATGTGTATGTGCTCTCAGTCACAGTGTGAAGGGCCTAAGGGTATCTGACCACACTGGGAACTGAACCCCCACTTTTCATACAGAGAGCCCCAAAGGTCTGCCTCCATCAGTCCCTCTCCCTGCCCCACAACAAAGCAAGTGCCCTCTCCAGAGCACTTGAACTCCTGGGCTCAAGCAATCTTCCTACCTTGGCCTCCCAGAGTGCTGGGATTACAGGTGGGAGCCACTGCGCCTGGCCCATTTTCATTTCAATTCTGGTCTTTATGATTTATACAGGAAGCAGGACCTTACCTGTACTGTCCTCCCCAAGGCCTTCTGCAGCCTCCCGAAGCTTAATGTCCATCACCCTTGTAGAAATCATGTCGAGCTCCCTGAAATTAGATGGAAATTCACACTAAAGGAACGTCATTAGCAGAAGTTACCAATGAGTGAAATAGTGTTGGTGACTGCATTTGCCATGATCTGGCCTGCATACACCCCAGCAAAGACAGTCCAGGGCAGAGTGCAGCACAGTACAGGCCAAAACCATGTCCACAGCCACAAGATAAGTAACAGCACAAGCGTTTAATCACTGACTGGGGTGATTTAATGGAAAAGAGATCACTGAAACAAATGCTTCACTAATTTTCACAATGCAGATTAGGTTTCTTTCAAAAAGATTTTTCTCAAATTGTAAGAAATGAGTTTTTCTCTTGTTTACTACAGGAAGTTTGGAAAATAGAATGAAAATCACCCACAATCCGACCAACCAAGGATAACAACAGTTAATGTTTCCATTTCCTTTCAATCATTTTTATGCAAATATTTTGTCCACATGCACACACATATCATATTAGAAAGCTTGACTTCCTGATTTTCTTACTTATACCACATTATTAAAATTCTTCATGTGTTATTTTAATGGCTACCTAATATTTTGATATATGCTATAACATCATTTATTTACATTGAGTTTCTTTTTTGAATGCAATGAAAAATTTAAAACAGATACAAAAATATGAAGAACATAAAATGAACTTAACATATGGCTACTCTTGCTTCATCCTTATACCCACACTTCATCCCACTCCTATGCAGTGATTTCTAAGCAAAGCATCCCAGGCACAATGATCATTTCATCCACATAAATTCAGCTGCTTCCTGAATTAAAAAAAATTCCTCACACTTTATAAAAATCAAATACATGATTACTGGCCAATATTCCTGCTACAGAATACTGAACTAATGGTGTCCCTGCCTTCCATAACTGACTGTTACAGTGTGGTCTACCTCCACATGCTGTCACACCATTTATTTAGAAAGCTATTTCTTACTGCTAGGTGTGATGAATCCTCACACTTAAAAAGGGGCGCTCTTTAACCAATTCACATTACCACTTGTACACAGCATGGATTGGGAAATGATGGGAGAAATGCAAAGAAAATATGAACAGAGAAAAGAAGTTGTGGGTCTGTGCCTGAGCTGGCTCTAATATTTAGATTTCTTCCAATGTTCATCCTCCCTACCAGCCAATCCCTTAAAAGCTGAACAAAGTTTCACCAGCTCTGGCACTAATGTTCATACGATTTGGCTTGAAAAAAAAATGTCTGGTTTTGTGTTGGCTCTGCCGAAAACACTTGGAACCTCACCAAATCTGACTGATGATCATGCTATCATTATATACAAAATGAGGGTTGGACAGAAATAGTAGTTTCAAATCCTTTACCACTGTTTTAGGTTTCAAAGAACAGCCTTGCTTTCATTATCTGTGTTCACTGTCAAAGTAACAGACAGTGCTATTAAACAGCAAAATGATAATAGTTCTAGGCTGGTGACCCAACCCAAAGGCCTAGGTGTTCCAAAGGTGTTCCTCAGTCCTCCCACCCTCCAATATGTTAGTCAGTCAGCAACCCTCTGATCCCCAAGTCTCCTTTAGAGGGGGTGGCTACCAGAGTATTCAATGGAGAAGGAAAACATAAGGTGTAAGGGAAGAGTGAAGACGGTGAGTGTGGCCTCAGAGTTGCCATTTGTTCCCCTGGGTGCCATCTCCTGAGGCTGCCACTGAGCTCTAGCTCAGTGCAAGAGTTTTCCCTTGCCTGAATTTGGAGTTAACCATGACAACTGCAAATTACTTATCCAGCATGCAAGTATCATCAGAATTATCTCATTGAATCCCCAGGAACTTTTAGTATTCCCATTTTGGAGATGAGAACATTTTTTTTTTTTGAGACGGAGTTTTGCTCTTGTTACCCAGGCTGGAGTGCAATGGCGCGATCTCGGCTCACCGCAACCTCCGCCTCCTGGGTTCAGGCAATTCTCCTGCCTCAGTCTCCTGAGTAGCTGGGATTACAGGCATGCGCCACCATGCCCAGCTAATTTTTTGTATTTTTAGTAGAGATGGGGTTTCACCATGTTGGCCAGGCTGGTCTTGAACTCCTGAGCTCAAGCAATCTGCTTACTTCAGCCTCCCAAAGTGCTTGGGATTAAAGGTGTGAGCCACTGCACCTGGCAGAGAACATTTCTAATATTAGGTGGTTTATCCTTGCCCAAGGTAGCAGAGCAGACATCTATGCTTACGCTGACTGCACACCCAGCACGGGCAGGTGCTTCTGAGGCACTGGGATGCGGTGGCAGATGAGACCTACGTGATTCCTGCCTCTTGCAGGTGCTGAGCAATGAAGGGGAGAGTCCTGCGTTGTCCCAAGTGAGTCTCAAGGGAAGTTGGAGAATCCAAAGGACAGGCTCTCCCACTGAAATGGCTCTGCCTGCCAAGAAGCCCTGCCCAGTGTCAGGCCAGAACTCAGAGGCTGGAGGAAACTAGTCAGTCAGCCTTCGTCCTCATCGCCTACTTTCCTGTACCTTGGAAGGCTGTTGAACCTTGCCTGTGTCCTCTTAGCTCCTCGAGACTTCATCTTAATGCTACTGAGACACAAACAAAAGCATGCAGTAGCTTCAAGTAGCCCTCTCCTTCATCTCAGCCCTAAGCAAGCTGGCCTCTGAGAGCTCCAAGTCAAAGAAAACTTACTCTTTAGACTAAATCTAGACCAACTGGGGTTCTTCAGGGGTTCTAATGAACTCAGAAGAGTGCTGAGCCTCCAGCCCCTGCAGCAGGGCACAGCACTTGTCAGTGTGTATCCGGGCACCCACAGAATCCAGGGGAGTCATGCATCTAAAAAAGACCCCTTAATGTGGGGGCTGCCACACTCCCTCTCCCTCCATCCTAATGACCACAGGCTCCTTCCCAGCTTATAGCAGAGTTCCATCATTAGTCTCAGCTTCTGTTGAAATAGGTCTACAAAAGTTAATTCACATAAAGAATGAGAATAGATTTTAATATGGTATTTTAAAGGTTTCAATCCATTATATTTACCTATATAATGCAAAGAAAAATATCTGTACCGTGACTCCATACATCTGAGCACATAATTATGCATAAAAGCTTTAGTGTTCACCCTAAGGATTCCCTAATCCCACACCACCCTCCAGGCTGTTTAGACCCCCGTGGATTCTTTCTTAGCTCCCAGTACCTTTCTTTCACATTGCTTACCAAGGTTGTCATCAATAACTTGTTTGGGAGGTGTCTGCTTAGCATCCCTTCCTCCCAAGGCTGGGGTTTTGAGGAGTGAGAGCTATGCGTATTATATTCACTGCTCTTTTACCAGTACCTAGGACAGTGCCCAATCAAAGAAGTGAACCCAGCCCACAAACAAGAGAACTGACAAACTGGAGAAGGTTCTGGGGTTATTAGAATCCTTTGAGATCAAGGTAGGTTAGACTTCCAAATGGTAGAGTAGCTTATACCACAGTAAAACTTTCCACTGATGATCAGTATAAACTGTGGAGAAAATATTAAAAACAATCATTTGAGGGCAGTAATGAGCAACCAAAAGCAGAAAGTAAAGTAGAATTAACTCCTTTTTCCTTTTTTCTTTTTGGAATCAACACTTAAAAGAAGGGAATTGCAGTAGGAGTGATTTATGTGTGTAGGGCTTTTATTCTGGAAAAGCTCTCAGGTATGTGTGTTGTGGAGTGATTGGAGCTCAAATAGAAAGCCATAATCTCATTGGCTTGATGAATCCAAGAATGGAATTTAGGGCTGCCAGAGTAGATGGAAACTGAGGGAGAATATCTATGGAAGGAAAGAACTTCAGAGAGAGGAGCACCAAAATCCACATGTCAACTCTTTCCTAATTCTTGGCTCCCCTCCCCTGAATTCTCACATACTGGGGAGACTCCAAAAAACCAGGCAGAAGATAGCAGCTAGGAGGCAGAGGGGAATGAACTAAAAATTTTCTACTGCTTACTGCAGGAGAGACAGAGTTCACATTTTGAGTCCAGCCAAGGTAACAAACAGCCTGCCAGAACAAAATCAATAATCTTCAGGAGAGCATAACAGATTCCAGATTTCCTATAAAATATCATTTATAATGTCTACCATACAATCAAAATTTACAAAACATGTAAACAAGTAGGAAAATATGATCCATAGTCATGATAAAAAAAAAACACCTAAGAGAGAATAATCCTGAGTGGCCAAAATGCTTAAATAGCAGGCAAGGACTTTAAAGAAGCTACTAGATGCATGTTTGGGGACTTCAAACAAAAAATGTAGCCATCATGAAAAACAAGATTAAGAATTTCAAGTTAGTAACAGAATATAAAGAAGAAACAAAGGGAAACCATCAAGATGAAAACTAATTTCCAAAATAAAATATTTATTAAATGGCTTAACAGCATTTGACATCAAAAGAAAGGATTAATCAAACTGAAGAGAGATCAGTAGAAATGATCCAATCTGAAGAACAGAGAGAAAAAAGACAGAAAAAAATGAATTTGAACACAGCCTCAGTGACCAGTGGTACAGTATTGACTGGTCTAACATATATTTAATTGAGTCCCAGAAGCAGGGAGTGGGGGGAATGAGAAGCAGAAGAGAGAAAGAGGAAAAAGGAGAGAGAAGAAGAAAGAAGGAGAGAGAAGAGGTGGGTGGGAAAGAGAGAGAGAGGAGGAGAGGAGAGGAGAGGCAGAAAAAATATTTGGAGAATTTATGAATAAAAATTTCTTCGAAATGGTGGAAAAGATAATCCTACAGATCTGAGAATTTTAGCAAACTTCAAGAATCACAACAAGGCACATCACAGACCTCAGAGAAGTGTGGGTGGGACACAGCGTAGTGTAGTAAAACCAAAGACAAAGAGGAAATCTCGACAATGGCCAGAGAAAAATGGCACATCATAAACAGGCAACCAGCAATATAAATGACCAACAATGGATAAGAAAGGGCAACAGAATAGCCTCTTTCAAGTGCTGATAGAAAACAAAGAATCCAATATTCTATATCCAGAAAAATTATTCTTCAATAATGAAGGCAAAATATAGACATTTTTAGATA